TTTGGGCAGGGGTCCTTTGATTGATGTTCTGTAACGGAGAATAAGCTCCACAAGGGGGAGAAATCCAGACCCTCTTAGGCCTCAGGGACCTCACTTGCTCAAGAACCAGCAGGAGGCCCTCTCGGGTGGCAAGGTCATGACCACACCACAAAGAACTCCTACAAGCGGCATCACTGCGCCCCGTCTTGTCCTGAAAGGTTTTACTCAAGATGCTGTCTGGTTCACAAGCGATTTCAAGCAACTCAACACGAGACTCACCAATCAAATCCTCAAACATGTTGGGGACCACCATTTGGGACTTATACTCCAGACACTTGGAGGCTACATAACTCAGCGGTTGTCCTGCGGGGCTCACATGGTCTCGTCCGGCTTCGCGGCAACCTTCCTCGGCATGGCCGTCGCCCTCTCTTCCTTCAGCTCCTTCACCTCCTTCATGAGCTCGGAGACCATGGTCGCCAAGTTGCCCACCGCCCCATCCAGGCTGCTGCTTGCAGACCCCGGTGTCGAAGGCACCGGTGGGGTCACACGGTTCTGGCTCGGCTCCTCCTTTTTCACTGATGGCTCCTTGGACATCTTCGGGCCCTTGACCTTTGTCTTCTCCAGCCAGTTGGCAAAGCGGTACAGGTGGATGGAGCAGCCCTCCTCCTCCTTCGCAGTCGTCTTCACCCACTCGCAGTAGGCCTTGTCGGTCATCGCCACGGACTCGAATGTCTGATCCGCATACTTGCCGAAACCCAGGAGGTCCTCGGCCTCTCCTGCGATCGTCTCCATCAGGAGGTTCATGGCGCGCCTCTGGATCACCGCCATGGTCTCGTTGGAAGTCACAGTCATCCCCAGGTCGGTGCGGACGTGCTCCACCAGGATGGCTTTCTTGGCACTCGCCTTGTTGAGCTCGGTCACCGCCTCCTGTAAGGCCGTCTTCTGTTTCCCTCCTTTCGGGAGGACCACCTCTCCCAAGTCGGCAAGAACGTGGAGTCGCTGCCGGAGTTCCACCTTCGTCCAAGCACGAGGTGGCTCTTCTCCGTAAGAACGAAGACGGAGAACAAGGTCGGCCTTGGACATGCGATCCATGGTGACGGGGATCTTGGGCAAGGAGAACTTGGTTGCTTAGGTCTGAGCCAGGATTGCTGCAAAGGTGACAAGGTTCCTCATGAGGTGCGGTTGCGACTTGTCTATCAGCTGGCTCGCGGAGACTCTGTGGGCTGCAATGCACTTGACCCGGGTGCGTGTTTCCAGAACTACAACTCTCACATACACTCCCATCACGAACCACACCAACAAACTTCTCTGAGTGATCTTTAGGAGTCAGGACCGACCCCACATCCCCTGAAAAATGATTAGCGTCCTCCCTCTTTTTGTCAGGGGCACAACGAGAGAGGAGCTGTCCCTAGCCCAGGAAGGATTTCAAACTCGGGACCGCTTGCGTAGCTGTTTCAGCATTGGCAAGCCAGTCTTCTGTGAGGGGCAGTAATTGGTGCCCATTCTTGCCTCTGGCAAGGCGCACAATTTTTCCTGGGTCGAGGTTCCGAAAAACAAGGAGGTCGTGATTAAAATCGATTATCGCTCCTAATCTACGCAGCGTGTCGATACTTAAAAGTACTGGACTTTGTCCATGATCCAGCGTGTGCGCATTCAAAACTCCTGGGGCACCACCCGCCTGCACCTCCAGGGACGCCGTGCTCAGGCACTTGTTCTCTGTAGAATTGCCGAACGAAAACACGGGGGGGTTCTTGAGGCAGACGTTCTGCAACCTACTCTGGCCATGTTTGGCACGGTTCTGGGACAGCACCGCTTCTACTGCATAGACACTACCGATGGTCTGAGTAGCACCTCCATCGATCACGCACATGCCCTTGGCCACCGCCTCCTGTGGTAAGACCCTGGCCCTCCTTCTGCTGGAGGTAGGCCTCCTCACATGTGACCACGGCCATCGCCTGGGCGTATCCAGCCAAGTTGGGGAGCTCGTCCCCGGTTCCGCTCTGGTCCAGGTCGGCGAAGCAGACAAACGGTGCATGGTGATGTTCGGGTCCTGAACCACCACTAACATCCACCTGAGAGGCTGTGGCCTTCTGAGGGCAATTGGCTGCTCTATGTCCCCGCTGTCCGCACCGGAGACAGTCTAGTTGGCTGTCATCTCGAGGCTTCGAGGGGAAGCTTGATCCTCCGGTGCTGCGTCCTGAGCTCGAACCACCTTGGTAGTAGCGCCGGCTCTGCTTCACCTGGTGTTGCTTCTGACGCGCTTCTTTGAGGGTCCGGCGAGCTTGGAACAAGGCTGCCATGGCTTCTTGAGCTTCCTGTTCAGCCTCCACCACGAGCGCGGCACCCTCGTCGTTGAGCCCGTCATCCATCAGCTCCTGCATGGTGTTCCCGGCCACATCGAGGTCGGATTCGGTCTCCTCGAGATTCTCGCCGCCGAGGTAGCTCTGGAACTTGCGATGCTGGTCCCGACGCTTGACCTCACCTTCCGGGAACTGGTTGCGCAGTTCCTGCGCGATTCGCTGGGGAGAGAAGTTGCCGTTAATGGCCGTCATCACGAGGTTCTTCTCATTGTTGTCCAGACCCGCATCAGTCAGCCAGCATGTACCATCCCTGAATAAAGGAAGGTAGTAGTTCTGCACTCCTACCATGGAGATCCTGATAGGAGTGGATCGAAGCTGAAGAGGACCAGTCCCAAGACCCAGTATTGCCCTGCCACTGGGAGTTCCACTGCCATCCTCCATACCAGTTCGACCAGGTGCCTTGCCAGCTCTGCCAGGTCGAGGCTCTCCACTGAGCATCTGAAGCCTGTCCGCCCTCATTGGCGGTCTCAGTGGCCGTCGTTTCCGACGGGTCCGTGGTGGCTGCAGCTGCAGGTTCAGCCTCCGAGGTCGAGTTCGATCTGGCCCATGTCCAGTTGCTGGCTTCTGTGCTCGGTCTCCGAGACCAGGCTCTCGCCTCGCCTTGCGTCTCCGGGACCTCTGGGTCATAGAAGGGAGCAACCCTCTTCAGGGCCTGGCCTGCTCGCATGTAGGCCTCGAACTTCCTCGTGATGTAGTCATTCATAGACTCACTGCTCTTCCGGCGAGTCCCCTTGAAGTAGGCAGCCAGAAGGTCCGTGACCTCGTTCACTCGGGGTTTCCCGAGTGACCTCCTGAGATGATCCATCAGGTTGGTCACGCCTCCTCGATAGGCGACCCATCCTGCGGGCTGACCTGCCACCAAACGCCTTGCAGCTCCGGTGAGCTCCTGAACCAAGCGAGGCCCCGCTGTGTATC